AGTTTTGTCGCATTGCGCAGGAAGATAATATATTTAGGAAAATTTTGGTAGAGGACAAGAGAAACGACATGTTATAGCCCCAGCTTTGATGTATGAAAGTACTCAGCATCTCCGAGGAACAGGACAATACTGGATGAAGATATAAAAAAAGGTTAAATCATTAAAAATTTCTAAAGAAAATAAATAATTTCAAGTATTTTCTTAAAACAGAAAATGGAAAGGAAAGAGAAAGTGGGAAGATGCAGTCCTATAATTATGCCTAATATAAATGAACCCTTAATTATATCCCTAATTTGAATTATGGTATAGAAATGGTAATTTGGTATGCTTAAATGTAATAAACACAAACCTTAAACATTGAGGGTAATAAGGTTTCATATATGGTATAGGTAGGTAAAAATCCCTTAAATTTATATCATGTTCGGTTGACGGTATAAATTTATCCCGGGATAAACCGTCAAACACACATGGTATAAATTTAATCCCACATTTATCCCACCTTATCCTGTGTACCAAACGATTTCGTTTGGTATTCAGACTAAATTATCCCGGGATTATAGTCCTGAGATTATAATCCCTAGACTAATTTATCCCATCATAAGGTGGGATAAGATAGAATATCGAGGATTAAGTCTGGGACTAAGTTTATACCATGTTTGATTGACGGTATAATTTTATCCTGGAATGAATTTATACTATTAACTAAACATGGTATAAATTTAATATCTTACTTTATCCCATCTTATCCCACCTTATCCTACCAAACAAATTCTGGGTATCTATCTGAAGTTTGGGGAGATTGTAAGGTACTAGAGTCCAGCGCTACAGATTTTCTTAATAATTAAGAAATTTCAGAGGACTAGTACGATTTTGACACTTGATATTGAGTCTAGCACTCTGTTATTTTTATTTACTTAGAATTACACATTTGTAGGTTAAAATTGTCTATTGAAGTAGTGGAAAGTAGACTTTCTTAAATTAACGAGTCTTAATGAATCAAATTAGTAAAAATATCGTGATCCGAGTATGAAGTGAAATATATTATACGATAACTAATAATTCAACTCACACAACTTGAATCTAATTGAAATGGAAAGAATACATTTCTCTGTCAAAATAAATTTTGATAGATACTGATACAAG